TTTCAGCATACACATTCATGGTCTGTCCAAATCCAGGTCTTTCATAGTTAATAAACAAGGAGGCGTGGAATATATCAGAGGCAGGAAATGACGAACCTTTCGATTCAAAGTAGTTTTGTATAGTGTTTGGAAGGCACCCTTCCAACAAATTAAGGCATTTCTTGGGACGGAGCTAGTCACTGAATTAGGCAGAGGGTTGTCAACCCGCCTATTTAATTCATCAAGTCAAGTTTATACCCACCATTGACTCCAGTCAGTCAAAATGATTATTTTGAACTGTAGGCATTAATCTGCAATTCAGTTGATGACGGAGAGAGAATTCTAGATCAGGGAAAGCCCCATGATCTCTTAGATTTCCAAGCAAAACAGAAAATATATGAGTACTCGAAAAAGAAGGGTGCCCCATCCCGAGACAAATTTTGGGGGGAAACTAGCATTCCAGAAAGAAGAGGCCAAAACAGTTCTGCATGAGGGCAATTCTGTTGAAAACAGCGTTCGGCAAAATAGCATTATTTCGCCTTTACTTTTCAATGTGTATATAAATGACTTCAGTTCCCGTTTAAAGTCATCTAAAATGGGCTGTTGCGTGGGCGGGTTTTTATCAACCATCTGATGTATGCCAATGACTTATCCTTAGCCTGTCCATTCGTGGTGTGCAAACCCTCGTTAATGTTTGCTATGCATATGGGTCGGTCTTTGATATTATTTACCATCCTAAGAAGTCTGAATGTATGTACTTTATTCCATGGAAGAGTGCTCTTAGAAGCAGTGTAATTCCACCCGTATATCTTAAGACTCTAAACTAAAAATTGTGCACAAGCACTCTTATTTAGGATTTTTCGTTGCTGATAATTGCATGAATGATGAGGACATTCTATGGCAGAGCCAATATATTGCTTCGAAAATTTTCTAGCTGCAGTAGTAATGTTAAAATTACATTGCTCTGAACCTTTTGTTGTAATGTTCACAGCTTTGGTTTCAATATAGTTGTAAAAGTATTTATGATCTCCGTGTTGTGTTTAATAATGCATTTCGTTTATTCCTTGGTTGGCCCAGGGACTGTAGTGCCAGCAGTATGTTTGTGTCCTCCAACATTCCCACATTTGATGCTCTTAGACGAAACATGTTTTTTGCACTCTATACATGTCTAACTAAAAGTGATAATAGAATCGTTGCAGTGCTTTTATCATCAGACTCACATTTATGTTCGGAGTTTTATGTTCTGTACCGTTAACTTATGTATACGTCACAGCTACGCTAGAACAATGAATTTATTTACTAGTCAAGTCTTTTTTTATATATTCCATTTTTTTCTCTTTGTTTATATATATATTTTTTAATATGAGATGTACGAACTGCAATAAAGATTTAATAATAATAATAATAATAATTATAGGTAGAAAGTGAGACCTGGGACTGTCCAAGGAGTGCTGATGGGAGAAACTTCTCCGCACAAGTCTGTAGTCGAGACTGTTCTATAACCTATGCGAAGGGATCCCTGTGGTCGTCAAAGTCTGACCTGTGACAAGACGCACCCTAAAAAATACCTTCCTCAATGGATTGCATGTCTCTTAGGTAATAATTGATATAGATGATATTGCATTCTCCAGAAGCCTGCCCTAAGCATGTGTTAGAGGGAAGCACCTGGTGCAAGAGCTAATGAGTAAGCGATCACACAGACCTCAAACACTGTCGAAGTGATCCACCTAGAAATGGATGTCGGCGAGGCTGGTCTGTACTGCTTACCATGACCAGAACACATAAACACATGCTTGCTGCCTTGTCTTTGCTCCCTAATACGTGTCTTTAGCACAGCATGATTGTCTAAAAAGGCAGCAGAACCATCAAAGAAGTACAGGGCCCCTAACTAACCAGAGGCGAGAGCTAGTAGGAAGACTGTTTTCCACATCAAATATTTTAGTGGTGCTAATTCTAGCGGTTCAAAGGTGGTCCGCTTAGAGCTGACAACACTATTCAAATCACTATTTGGTGGTTCTCTAGATTGGGGTCGAGGCCTCTGATTATGAAAAGCAGTAAACAGTCTCCTAATAATAGGACATTCGGCTAATCTTGTCCCCAAAGAATTTTCAATGACGGGTGACATATAGCCAACGATTGCTACATCGTCAAACAGGTGGATGAAAAAATCAGCTACCTGGCCACCAGTGGGGTGGCATGGATCAACCTCCCTTCTACTACACCAATCAACGAATGTCTTCCATTTGTAGTCATAAGCTGCGTTGGTGGAACCCCTATTCGTCCCGTCTGTGCAAGTCTACTGAGAGCCTCCATGCATGCAAGTGGTACACTGCTGGGCTCATTGGTAGTGCCGTCCAGTTGGGACAGCAGATCCGGGATGTTTTGAAGAACTACCGATGTTAACATTTCCAACAGTAGTGGAAAACAGGCCTTGGTTGGCCAGTTGGGCGCCACCAGCATAAAGATGCAGGTGTGCTCCTGGCGAAATTTCTCTAATACCCAGTGAATCAGCTGGAAAGGAGGAAAAGCGTACGAGTCCATAAGTCATGTACGCCGGGAGCTTGGCATACTGGGGCGTGGCGAATAGACCTATCTTGGGACCATCCCACAGCATCCAGTATCAGAGTCATAGCCGTGGCGAGTGGGTCTAAGGGAACCCCCTGCTTGAGGCATTCCTTGCTTGGTCTCCGAGAGCGTTATTCGCCTCTCCAGTTCTCGTAGGTGATATGGTGTTGCAACAGAGTGTGTTGCACCAGGCGGCTGTGCAGTGGAGCTTGTGGAACGACCCTGCACACTGACGTCATCATCCCAATGATGTGCATCAGTTCTCTGACGAGACGTTGTGGTAGACTGCTTATTGCTAGGCAACAAGCATGCGATGGATCATACCTGTGTCGAACTCCATGCCCAAGAACACCACTGTAAACTGTCTCCATGTATAAGCGTGAACAGAAACCATGAAACAATACAATTCTTTTACATCTGGTATTTCAGGATTAAATTAAATAGTATCACGTCAATAACATTTTACACACACACACATTACAAGAATAATTCTGTTTTTTATCCAAGGTGAAATAAGTAGTTTTTATTCATTTCAATGACACATATATATACTAAAAATTAAAACCAAGTCACAAAAGCATGTAATAATTTAACTAGTGACAGTATAGTGTCACTAGTCTTCAAACGCCAAACACATTGACAGTGTCTAAACGCCTAGAGTTACAGAGAGCAATTCTCGCACATCAGGGTATTTCGTTTGGCTGAATTCCAAAAATACTTGAAAATACACTGACAATGTCTGTACTTGGAGACAATGATTTGTATATTCATTCTTTTTTGACTAAGGTACCAAACACGTCAGAAGGTGGCAGTGAATTGGTTTATTCTCATGGGCAGTAACAATAAAATTAACCACCCAACTAATAATATTAAAATATTTGTTTTGTACAATTGTTTGTAAATTTTATTTATAGTTGGCAAATATTGGAAATTTACATAGATGGCATTTGGTGGAAATCGAATTAGTAGGTATACGGTGAAAATATAAAGTTATAGGCATATAGTGGAACTTTGATTAGTAGGCAAATTTGAATATTTGAATTTATTGAAAATACATCTGGCAAAAAAAGAAAAGAATTTAACAGAGCTTAAAAGACGTGTTGTCTTTCTTTGAAAAATGTGCATCAAATTTACATCACATTCAAACAGTTTCTTTTTTTTCACATCTTACACAACAATGTAATGTATGATAGAAATAAAATCTCACACTTGTAAAATGCTTTTCGCGGGTATTTCAAGTTGCTATATTTCAATGAAATATGACTGCATACACAGGATAGATACATACTAATAAGGTTATGATGAGAGTACCAGAATGTATGGATTCAGGCAGTACAGGATCACATGGACCTCTGCTGCACAGCGGCATTGCCTTCGTAATTACCTTGTATTACTATCAGCTCTGATGTTACCGAGACTCTGCTCAGAAGTGTTACAAAAATTGATGGTTACAGCTTTATTTAATATACTTTCTGTGCAGTTATTTGAGCAAGGAATTCACCATTTTTTTTTTATAAAATTTTGTTCGTAATTTACATGATCAATGTCATAATAGCCAGTTCAACGTTAATATTGTTGTGCAATAACTATGATAAAACTGTGAATCTAGTTTATTGATAATAAATGTGTCAAAACCTGTTTGGGGAACTCATTCATTTTATCAATAGTTTACGTTATGGCTTTGAAGTGGACACATAGGAATACTATCTCACATGTATTGGCAGATGGAAATCTATTAAAACTGAAATATATTTACATTCAAAGACTAATTTATTCTAATTTTAAAAAAAGTGTACAAAATAGTTTAATTTTTATGTAACTGAAAAA